CCGTTGATATTGTATCTTTCGGTAACTGAGACCACCATGGGCTGCATGCTATCAATTCATCCACCCCCAGAGGTGTCTACGCCTGTTCTAGAAATTGAGCATGGTATAGAAGATGTGTTCATATCAGGTTTTACCTTGACCGAGGCTCGGGTTGTATGTTGTTATTGTTAAGGAGCATGTTGAGTTCTCTACTGGACTATATGTTCATCCCACGTTGTTGAATCTTTTTCAGGTGTTTAGCAGGGTGTGCTACAAGATTTGGATCTTCTTATTTGTTGGCCACGGGGCCTCAGTTATGTTGGCGGAATGCCATTGTTGTAAAGGGTTACACCCTTCTTCTTGTACTTTTAATGATGTAAGCCCAAGGGCAATTTATTAAGTTAGTTCATGTAATATTTACTTTGCATACGAATGAGAGTATTGTTAATCACTTCTACGGATTGAATGTATGAGTTTATTTCCGTATGTTATCTCTGAAATTGAATTAAGTTAAAGAATTTGGTAATGACTCCGAGTAATAAAAAGTGGGGCGTGACAACTTTTATGGCTGCCTACCATTTCATAGTCTTAAAATAGACACCTCTCATCAGACATGGTTTTTGGTTCTCAAAATGCTTTCTCCGATGTCGCTTTCTGCATTTGACCTCTAGCACTGCAAAAAAAACAAGCATCAGTTTAAAGGCTAAAGGCATTGCTCACACAAGAAACTAGGTCCGCCCAGGAGGGGGATATATATGAGGATTGGCAATAGATAAATTTTGAGTTCAGTAAATATAATAAAGTAACAAAATTTTGTAAAATGTGTATATAAAAGGAAAAACCTGGATATTGTTGTTTATGCTGCTCTTTTGATGAGCTAGAACCAGATGCATTTGATGACCCAGGACTTACTTTTAAAATGGTTTTCTGGGAAGCAAAAGCAATGCGTACCATATGAATATAAAGCTTGAAGTACAAGATAAAACATGTAAACAATCGCTAACTATCTATTTAGATAAAATAAATAAAAAAAAGTAATCAATTTGTGCTACTAATTTTCTATCTCAAATGAACAGAATATATACACTTATCAGCATGGCATCAAAATATTGAAAAGCACAATATAATGGTTTAGGAATTTTGAATTCATCTCTCTCTCTCTCATCCAGTTTCGTTACTTGAGGTTTCTATTTAGAACACCCTCCACAAATTCGATTCTCTCAAGGATTCCTTGAAGATTTTCTACACAATACTTGGCCAATTACAAATCTGAATGGCATATAACAAAATTTTTGTGTGTGTGTGTGTGTGTGTGTGTGAGAGAGAGAGAGAGAGAGAGAGAGAAATTTTATACAAATTTTCAAAAGGAGAAAGAACTTACCCCCAATTGTACAATACATGAGGTGACATTTATGCATGTTCTTGGATCCACCATACAATCAATAAAACTCATCATAGTCAGATTTTTGAAAAGAAAAAAAAAATAATATGCCCACTGTAGACGCGTCCGCGAGGGACCCCGCTACTACAGTTCGGACTCGATTTGTGTCACGGTTCTTAATCTTGAACCAAAGAGTCCAAATCTGGCAAATCGTTTTGAGAAAATAGACTTTAGGAAAGAAGTGCCAAACATGGATTGCTTTGCCAGATACAGAGTCGCCACCTAAATATTTTTATAGGGGAATTTAGGAAACCCCGACTCGGTGCCAAAGGCCACATGTCCGTCATCACCGGAGTTGTCTCGGCTCGGGAGCTAGGGTACGATTGGGGAAGGTCAGCTATGAGCACCCCCTCTCACCCGATCTGAAGATCGGCCTCTACTAACCGTGATATCCGTTTTTGAAAACGTTATGTGTTCTTATTCCATTTGTTAGCCTAGAATTACTATGTTATGCGCACAGCAAACAAGTATAGACTAGATTGCCTAATTTGGAAACAAACATTGCATATCCATTTGTTTTGAAAAGTGCTTTGGAATTTGCTACTCGCAAGTAGGTTAAAACACGAATTTCAACGAGTTTTTCCAATTCAAACAATCAAACCTTCACCCACGGGCATTCAAACAGTTTATCTCATATAAGCACTTAGCCACATGGTAAGCACATTATCATGGCAACATTCACACGCATGCAATATGCTAAAGCGAAAATACTTACATCGTACTCCGCGCCAAAACAACAAACTAGTTAGCAAACATGCATGTCCTAGTTCATATCAAGTTGACTAATGCAACACATGCAAGATGCAATTAGAGTAGGCTCGGCTAACCTAAACATGGCATGTGAAATGCAACCAATTGATGCACGTATTCAATTTGGAATTTGAAATACAAATGCAGTTAGCATGATGTACCGAGCCCGGTGTATGCAGGACAGATGTATGAATGCACGCATGCATTGCATAAGGTATGCTAATTTTAAATATGCCCTAGTCTACCATCATAAGTAGGTAAATAAAAGGGAAGAAAGACGTGGGATTGGAAGACATACACCCCACTCACACACACTTATTACAGATTTGCCCTTGCTCCGAGGGTACAAATAAATATTACAGTCCGAATAACAAATAAATTAATTATTACAGAATTTCTACTTAATTAATAGAAAGAATGCAAAATGAAGGAGAAAGATGGCCACAGCCTCCACCTCGAGATGTGCGAATGATACATGCTCGAACCCGCCTTGCCCGGAAAACCCGCACCATACCAAGGCTGTCTCTGCTTATACTGCCCTATCTCTCTAAAAAATTCCAAAGTGCTGGGACAGGTTTATTGCATACTGCAGAGTACCACCGGCTGGGGGAACTTCTCACCGGCAGTGCATAATTTCCATCGGCTGCTTCTGGATTTATCGGCCATTCACCAATGGCCAGTCGGCACTGAATTCTGCCGGTCGGCAGAAACTTCCTGCAGGAGACAGTTTTGACAGCAACAGAGAACAGACAGTATATGGCATGGGATTTCAGGCACATGTGAGCATGGTCATGCTTCCCATCATGTGTTGAACTCAGGGGAACATGGCCCTCGATACTTGAGCCATCAATCGTGCATGATAGCCCAAGAGATCAAGCTTGCCATTTGATAAAAAAATGCATGCAACACACAAATGAGGACCAAGGCCTTATCATGTCGAAGTCAAAGGCCCCGGTGACCGAGAGTTAAGGCACGTTACATCACTTATAGTATGAACGCCCCTTAACCCTCACACTAGGTTTGACACCCCAAACCAAGCAATGCAATGCATGTTATGCAAACATGGCTCAAAATGCAACATTATATCAAGATGCAAGGCATACCAAGTGTCATGCAACTAGTATGACAAGCATGCAATGTTAGGCATACAAGATGCAAATGCAATGTAAATATGGACAATTTAAGCAATAGAATCAACGCAATACCACACTTGATGAGACAATTATGCAATGGACATAAGACAAGCATGCAAGAGAGCCTTATACCATAAAGGGGCAGGCCTTGATCCACCCCAAAACAGTGGCCAAAAAGTGCCTAAAAGGTGGACCAATACTCATGCCAACAAGCAAACCAATGGTCCTAAGGTTAAGGCACAAAACGGAGGCACTTCACTCCCACCAACATGACCACTCATGGCATGACTTGGACAAGCCAAAACAGAAATTTAGCATGCAAAAATGGACTCCAAAACCCATTAATGTGGCAGCTAAAGTGGCTCCAAAGAGATGTATGCACCAAGGCTCATATGTAGGCATAAAAGGGCACACCCTCAAGGCATGAAGGAGGTCACACATGCACACATATAAACATGATTCATGGACTGAAATGTGACCCTAAATGATGGAAAATCATGAGGATGGTGATAGCTATGCATCCTAGAGGTCAATATGCTCAAAGCTTACAAGCCAAAACACAAAGAGATGACATCAAACAAGGCAAGCATGACTGAAATGGATGGCCAACAGACCTCAAACATGATAAAATAATGCCAACACCTTCATGGAACTAAGCCAACACATGCAAGAATCATGGCCTAAACACAAGATACAATTCTAGGCCAAATGGAGGAATGCAGAGCAAGTATATTAAGCATGCAAATGGGTACAAATCCGGCCAAAAACAGAGATCACATATGACCCAAAACACCCAAAAAACTTCTGAAATGGGGCCAAAAATGATCAAGCATGCATGTTACCCTTTTAAGCCAAAATGCAAGGAAACAAGACAATGAAGGGAGAGGGGTTATAAGCATCTAGCCGCATGGCGAACATACTGTCATGGCAACACTCACACGCATGCGGTATGCTAAAGCATAAATACTTACATCGTACTCCGTGCCAAAACAAAGAACTCGTTAGCAATCAATGCATGA